TGATTGTTGACACACAGTTCTGCTTCCACCCTTTTTCCTGTCAACTCCTCTATCAACGTCTATAGATATTTCAATTCTTTACAGCACTCAGCTGCTGCAATATATTCGGCCTCAGTGGTTGATAATGCAACACTACTCTGTTTCCTAGAGCACCATGATATTGGGTCCCTGACATCATAATTACATGTCCCGTTACACTCTTCCTATCCTTTACATCCCCTGCATAATCAGCATCACTAAATGCTTCCAGTTTCACAATTTCAGAGTCAGGTGAGGTATATTTTATTCCTGAATCTCGTGTACTTTTCACATACCTAAGGGTCCTTTTCACATTCTGAACAGCTATTTTGTCAGGATTTTCCAAGCTTCGACTTTCCACATTTACAGTGAATGCCATATTGGGTCTGGTTTTCGAAGTCATATATAGCAGGCTTCCTACAGCTTCTCTGTAAAGAAATCTATGTCATTTTCTCCTTCGTCATTTGTTGGTGGGATTGTGGCCACGGGTGTTTTCATTTCTCGACTTTCTTGCATGTTGTATTTTTCCAATATTTGGCTTGCATAGTTGGTTTGAGAGATATGTATCCCATCTGGTTGCCTCTCGATTTGTATTCCTAAATAAACTTTTGGATTTGTGGTTTTTGTTATTTTAGTGTACACCTCTGAACCAAAAATCTTCAATCCAGCCAGATCCGGTCTTTTACCATACCAATTTTCCGCTGGCATTTCATTCACGTTCACTGTTGGGCTTCAGTTTAGCAGGTCTGCAGAAGTGAGTACAGCTTCACCCCACATTCTCTTACTTAAAGCCGAGTCAAAAATCAATGCTCTTGCCTTTTCCACAATAGTACGGTTCATCCTTTTGGCAGTGCCGTTTAGCTGTGGCTAATATGGTGTAGTAAATTCCAATACAATCCCCTTCTTCTTACACCATTCTCTCAAGGCGTTGTTCTTATATTCCCCTCCATTGTCACATCTTATTCTTCACACTCTTGTGTTGAAGTGACACTCAGCTTCATTTACATATTCCTTCAAACAGGTATACACTTCACTCTTATTTTCTAACAGGTATATCTTACAAATATGTGAATAGTCATCCACACACGTAAGGAAATATTTCTTATTGTCACAAGTAGTGGGATCAATCGGTCCACACACGTCACTATGAATTATCTCAAATGGCTTTCCAGCCCTACTTCTTTCTGTATCAAATGGGAGTCTCACTTGTTCGGCCTGCATACAAACTGAACATATATCAAAATTTTTACACTTGCTCACACTTTCTGGTATCCCTTGGCATATCTCTTGTAGTTTCCTAAGATTTGCATTAATTATGTGACCTAGCTTTCTGTGCAACTCTACACTTGTATCTTGCTGAGTCATCATGGCTTCATTCCTCATGCTAAAGTTAATGATAATTCATTTTCATCCTTTTTTCCTTCGATTACAACATTTCTGTCCCTGAGTATCAGGACTTTCTCTTTTGTAAACAACGCTTCTCCACTTCTTCTGACAGCAGATTTTACTGAGTTCTGGAACATATGAAACGTTTTTCAAACTACACTCTTTAAATTCCAAATTGCCTATTTCTTTTGCACTCATACTTTGATTCTTCTTTGCTACCTTTATACATTGAGTATACTGCTTAGTATGTATCAAATCAGTCTTCACATGTGTCATATGACATGTGCTACCACTATCCACTACATACATTTTGTCTTTTTCACTTGCATCACTCATGTGGGTTTCTGCTGCTTTAGCTAAAAAATTGACCTTGCTTCTTTTATTCCTATCTTTAAAATAACAGTCCTTTTCAGCATGATTTGTTTTCTTACATACTGTACATTGTTTTCTCGCATCACTGTCCTTATTTCTAAAGTAACAGTCCTTTTCAGAGTGATTATTCCTTTTACAGATAGAGCAATTTCTCATACCTTTGTTGGGGCAGTTGATCTGAGCATGACCTATTTGATTACAGTTGAAACACTTGTAAGGCAGGTGCTGACGAGGTGGAAAACTTAAAAAAGTGTCACATTTGACGGAAGGAACTTGATTGTTAATTGGTTAGTGTGACGGACCAGAATGAAAGACCTTAAACTTGAAAAGGGTTTTACTTTTGCTTTTAGTTACTGTCTTACAGGCTATGCTTTCCTTTTCTTTAGTCGTCATCTTGCACTTCACTTCTTCCAACATCAATCTGGCCACCAGGTTGTCAAGGGTTCTGTCCACAGTCACCACTGAGTCCCAGGCGGTGCTGAAGTGTTTGTAGTCTTCTGGTAGAATCATTATTTTTGTCATGATCATGTTTTCATAAACGTTTTGGTTCAGCTGACGAAGCTCGAAGGCACTGTTTTGCACATGACTTATATTCGTCATCATATCCTTAGTTTTGTCATACTTGAAGTTGTAGAAGTCTTGTAGCAGAAGGCACTTCTGTTGAGAGGTGTATCGCTGATAAATTTGCTTCAAGGTGTTGTACATTTCTTTCGCGGTTGTGCATGTCACATCTTGCATCTTGCATCTTCCATTTCCTTATATTTTCTTTGTCTCTTCCTTGGTCACTTAACTGGTCGCTGCCATCAACGGTGTTTATCACTTCTTTTTTATGCATGAGAATCTTGATTTAAAAATCCCACAGTGGAAATGAGTTGGCGTCCTTCAGTTTTGGCAGATGCGTCATCTCTTGTGTCTCTGTGGCTGCCATTTTTCGTTATTCTTCTGCTGTCTTTTCCCTTTTTATTTTCTTTTTTTGAGCAAACCTGGGCCCATAACCTGATGATTTTCTTTGTATCATGCTTACATATCACATAACAGCCATATTGGATGAGAAGACATTTTTTATTATAATACAAAACAAAAACAAATGAATATAGATCACTATTACCAACTTGAACATTTTTACAATACTAGATTCTCAAATTATAAATTAGAAAAACAAAACTCAAATTTTTCCCAGTTTATTTCACTTTAAGTGAAATGTTCCATGTATGATGGGGTACCCAAAAGAAACCGAACTAATTTTTTTGTGGGCAGAGCTTTTGTAGTACCTCAGTTTGCCACTATGAGCGCATAGAGCTAACATTCCTGAGTCGATAAGCCGACTACTGTTGCTTCAGAAGGTAAGGACTAGTTTCAGCAGAGTTTATAGTGACAACTGTTTTGTGTGATCGTCATTTTTGCAATGGCTGATTTTTGTGAACAGCGTGCAGCGGTGAAATTCTGCTTTTTGCTCGGGAAAAGTGGAACAGAAACTCTTGAAATGTTAAAAACGGCGTACAAGGACGATGCTATGGGGAAAACTCAAGTGTTTGAGTGGTTTTCCCATTTCAAAAAGGGTGGAAATGTCAATTGATGACAAACCTCGTTCTGGTCGTCCTTCCACAGCCCAAACACATGAAAATGTTGAAAAAATTCGTGAAATCATCAAGGAAGATCGACAACGGACCATTGAAGAAATTGTGGAGCTGTCGGGAGTGACTTGGAGCTCAGTTCAGCGAATTTTGACAGAAGATTTGGGAATGAAAAGGGTGGCTGCGAAATTCGTGCCACAACTGCTGACTGCTGAACAAAAACAAGGTCGCATGGAAGCATGCTGTGCTTTGAAAGAAGAGTCCCGAAATGATCAAAACTTTTTTTTGTTTCCTCGAATGTAAAGAGACATGAAAGGAAAGCGTTTTGCTGATGTTGCTGAGGTGAAGGAAAAAACGACGGAGACGCTGTCAAGCATCTCAAAAGATGAATTTAGACACTGTTTTGAAAAATGGAATAAAAGACTAGACAAGTGTATTAGTGTAAGTGGAGAGTACTTTGAAGGGGATTGAAGGTTTGTGCTTAAAATTTGAATAAACAAGTTAAAAAAAATAAGTTCGGTTTTTTTGGTACCCCCTCGTACCGTTTTAAATGTTTTTAATATCCTCCTTCCCAAGGAGTGAGTAGGAACTAAATGTCCTCCATCATTGGAGGGTTAAGAGATAGAGCATTAGGTAGTGAGTGAAATGGGGCAGGTTGGCTTATATGCCAGATGCCATATAAGGAACTTGGTGGGATATTTATGTAGTGCCAGTACCGACTGTGGTGTGACATTAGTTTTTTCAGGTTCACTCATCAACATGAACAGGTAATTTAAACTCACACTTGCATTAACAGAAAAAATTCATTCCTCCTGTAATGTGACAACACTGCAATAGAACCTACCCCCATGCCAGAGTTTATCATTTTCAGTTTACCATGCATCTAGAATGAGTGGCACAGAAATATCACTCTTGTTATATTATGTGTAATTAAATTGTTGGTATCTCGTAGAAGAGCAGTATGACCAATCCTTTAACCATCTGAGGGTAACAGCATATGTCTTTGGGAGAAGACAAAACTTGATTTCTTCATCATGACAGACATATCTGAAAGTCCAGATTATGAGCTAACTGTAATGTAATTGAGAATAACTTAATTTTTTGAATTCAGATGTGTTAGAAATTATGTTATGTAATAATGAAATTAACTGTTTGAAGCCTGAAATTGATCAAAATTAGTAATTAAAAATTCAGTTCCTACCTTATAGAAAACAGTGTCCATTATGAAGGCTAGTCAGTTAGTGCTGTTCAGGAAATAGACCTGTTTTTAAATATTTGTTTATATACATAGCAAATTGACTAATTTCACTTGCTTTATAGAATTGAATTTTTCTTCAGTTGGTATTTGTTACAGCAGTATTTTATCATATATTCAAAATACTGAAACAGAACCATGTGTGGAAATAACAGCTTGATGTTTAATTCTGTGCAGATAACAGGTTGTTGTATTACTTATTCAGTGCAGAACAGAAACAGCAGCAATGTTTCAGTCAGCTTTCAATCTCTTGAACAGAAATTCCATTGAATGATACTGTAATAATAAAGTTTTTTAAAGCTTGGTTTATTTGAAAACCATTCACTTTTAAAGTGTCTTATATTGTATATACTATATATATTAAATATTTAATTAGTTGTGTTTCATAATTTCAGATCCCTATCCCTTGCAACTGAACAAAATATGGTGTATAATGAAGAAAACTGTCAGCTAGACATATCACATAAGTTGAATATCAGCAGATCTGAATCTAGTAAGTCTTTGGAAAGTGACAACACATCAGTTAAAAGCATGTGTAGTTGCCCAATAAGAAGTGAGGCCCGGAAGGATGATGGAAGTCAGCTGTGTGCATGTCCCCAGAGAAGGCATGGTGCTTGCAATAGGGGTGTGAATGTGCCTACATTACATTGTGCTGAAAACATGGAGCAGTTACTGGCTGAATCGTCAGGTGGTACAGTTTCAAAAACAGTCAGAAAACAACCCAAGTCTCCATTCTTGGGAAGCCATATTGAAAATGGATTGTATTTGAGCACACAGGAGAATGACTGTAAAAACATATCACAAGGTTCTGTCAAAGTGTATGCTAATGGAGAGAGAACCAGTAGAAACAGTGCTTCAGTCATCGTAGACTTTCCAGAAAGGAAAAGGATTGTGAAACAGAGAAAGATCCTTGATATGTTCGTTGCCGAGGATGACATGAGCTCTAAGGCTTTATCTCCAAGGATGACTGTTAAAGAAGGAAGCTTTTTATGTGAGGGTCTGACAGAACAAAAGTTACATAATAGTAATAGCCTATATATTACACAAATGCCTGAAATCAATTCATATGAGAGAAATGAAACCCTAAAAACCAGTAGTTTAGATAGTGATTCAGATGGTGTTAGAAGCAGACACACTGAGAAAGTAGAGCAGCATACAGAAGACTGGTGCAATTTCAATGATGAGGAGGAGCTTGAAGAAGGTATTTTAAGTTATTACAATGAAACCATATCGTATAGTGCAACAGCCTCTGCTGAGTTTGAGGAATTTATGGTAAAACCTCCTGTGCCTGCTAATAATTCCAGCAAACATGAAATGAATTTGGAGTGTGCGTTGTTCATGCGTATGGAACAAAACAGTTTAGGTAATGTAGCCGAAACACACAATGTTATAAATCAGACCCCACTGACTGAACATTTATGCAGGAATGAAAGTCACTTCAGGATTGTAACAACAGCTCATAAGAACTTTAGAGTATACATTCCAAGGTTTAACCCTCCTTCAAAAAATGAGATTTTGGCAAGTTTATCAGAATTTTGTATTCCAGAGTATCGACACCAAGAGCCCTTTGTTGGTAATGTCTTGGATATTGGGAACAAAATAGAAGTTGGAAGTAAAGTATTGAAGATCTGTAGCATGTCAGTTTGTGATTTGCAACCCTTTGCTGGAAGTTTACAAGACATTTTGGACATTGAAACCTGGAGAAGAAAATTGTTACAGGAATTAAGTTATACATCTCAGGGGAGTTTAGATCAAAGTAGTGACTTTGGCCTGGATAACATGAAACCTGCTTTGGCCAGTAACAGAGAAGTTGTTATTACACCATGTAAGCTGCCACCTAGTATAACTGAAGTAAATCTGTGGCCTAAAGCAGCACAAAAGTCAAATGTACAGGAACTTCAAGGAAATGATGTAGGTGATGATGTTAGCAGTAGGAGGATAATGATGCCATTAAGTCCAGGGCAAGAATCAGGCTCAGATGATATGTCTTTTCTTCCTGTAACTCCTGGAAGTCTTAGATCTGAACAAAATGGGAGAGGCAATGTAACCACAACACACAGCACTCCACAGGTCACATTGGCCTCAGCTTACCTGCCCAGCCCTTCTTGTACACCTATCCATAACTCTAGTCAAAACAGAACAAAGATGTTACTGAAACGCTCAAGAAAAGGGTTGAAATTTGACCCCCAAACTCAAGAAAATGTATCTTTCATGTTGCCATCCATAAGAGAAGAACCAGAAGAAGCAGCAGTAGACACTATTTTGAAATGTGGAGCAGCCAAGGAGAACCCAATATCCAGTGACAGTTCAGAACTTCCTCATTTTTATGATAATAGTGGACCATACAAGCATCAAGATAGTGATGGCAGAAGTGAAGTCATCAGATCAGTAGAACAAGTTCAGCCTGAAAATGCAATTGACCTCATCTCCAGCTCACAGGTATATGAGAAATAACAAAAATTATTTTCTTTTACATTAAAACAAAATCCATCATATGGGAATAAAAACAGGATAAAATTGCCTCTGTGCATCACACCATGAAGATGACTGAGGGAGTGGTGGTATAGCTCCATCATTCTTGACCTTTGTGCTGTATGGGAAGTGAGTTGTCAGCTTCACATCCCAGCCACTTTAACCTCAGGGAAAATCCCATGGTATCTGTTGGTTCAGAGTGGATCTCAGAGCCAGTCTGGTCATTGTGGAATAGAGAAAACTCTGTTGCCTCTGCTGGGAATCTTTCCCAGGCCGTCCAGTCCATCACTATACTGACCAAGCTAGAGGATTTAAATCCCCTGTTCCTTTTAGTACATCAATTCTAATTTGTGGGTTTGAATTGATGTTACTGGTACTGGAAACTTTACATATTAGGAATTATGCCTGTCATAAAGAAATGTGGAGACTAAAATTTATGGAACTATTTTTACCTGATGTTTTGCCTGGGTGTGAAACTTTTCTTCTGGACCTTAGGGGAATAGATTTCTGGGGACAATAGTGAAGAGTGAAAATAACAGGATGATCAAGATAATTGAACTAGGAGTTTTATAATTTATATTCTTCGTCAGATATTATTAGGAGTATGAGATTAAGTATGTAGCGCATGTGGGAAGACAAGAAATTCATAGACAATTTTAGTCAGGACTCCTGAACAAGAGAGAACAGTTCGAAACTGCAGGCATGTATGTACATTAGATGTAGATGGGAACCTAATATTAGAGTGAATCTTAGGGGAAATAGTACATGAGAATGTTGACTGGATTCATCTGGCATAGGATAGGCTATTGGTGGGGTTTTCTTTTTCATTGTAATTGACTTTTGTGCTCTGTAAAATGTGGGAAATACAGTGAAATGCCCATTTAATGTTCCATGATTTTAGATTTTCCCTTATTTAACATGAAATTTCAGTGATCCCCAGTCAGTGCACTCTGTGTTATATTACCTCCATTGAAGGTTATCTCAGTTTACTACTCGAATCCATTGCCCCCAAAGAAGTCGTAAGATAGGGGTTTCACTTTACCTTCACAAATTGAATGTGACTTTTGCCTTCACAAGAAAGGTTTTGCTCACTGGAGTAATACGCAAACCAAATAATATGCATGTTGATAATCAGGAGTATATTTTGTGCTATACAAATCAAAATACACTATGTAAATTGTATTTGTTAATTATTCACCAGGGTACAGTTGAGGCTGAACCTGTTCGCAAACTACTACTCCACCATCAGCTCCATCCTGTGACAACCACTCAGAGAGCTGTGGAAGGAGTGAACTCAAGCTGTCAAATAGAAGAAAGCACACCAAACAATACATATGGTTTCCAGGTGTCACTTCAGAACCTGCATGAGGTCAAAGCCATTTGTGAGGTAATATATAAATATAAATGTAATTGCCATTATAGTTTTATGTTTACAGAGGAGTTTCTGTATAATGAATCTCTGGAGGAATGGCATTTTTTACACAAAGTCAGGATTTTAGTTAAGTCAGTGTTATGCAGAATGATGTCAAGAAACCTTATGAGACACACTAATATTACCATGTATTGAACTGAGCAGAAAGGGGGTAAGGGTCACATACTAGCATGTAGGCACCTCACATTTGAGGAAAGATTCAAACTCCCCCTTCTGGGTCATTCTGGAAACTGCCCAAGGCTGAAGGGTAACTGAGAACACACAAGAGACTTTTATGTGCCTGGGCATAAAACAGTGGTTGCAAGGCAAGGAGAGGACCATCTTAGGCTGAGTTTAGGCTTAGAAGTGGTATAGAAGAATCATGTATGGAAAACTAGACATGAAGCCAGATGTGCTGTGACTCACAAGTTTAGTGCTAAATGTGGGAATAGGACAGTGGAGTGGTGTATGGTGAAATAGCGATGGACAAAAGCAGATTGTTATGAAGATCTTAAGCCGCTGCTGACAGACAGTAAGTGTTGCAAACCTTGACAGAAGTTCCAAGTGATATCAGAAATTGGATTGAAAATGGATCTAGAATTGCAGGAAGTTTCAGAGCAGTTAAAAGAACTTAGAAGGACATAAGCGCCTGCCAAGAAAACCTAAAAAAGGACATACATACCAGCCAAGTTGAACTCAAAAATAACACAAGCTCCTGCAAAATTAATTTAAAATTGAAATATGTGTTATGAAGCCTATCCAGAGCAATTTCAAAGATACAATAACAGACAGTTGAAGGATGTCATGGGAGTAATTGAACAGCAGGCTTATAGTCTTTGTGAATTCAATATTGAGCTAAAGGTGATAACAGTGAGATGTAGAGGAAACTAGACATAGCATCGAAGCAAAGCAGTGAGCTACAGATGACTGCATGACCTGAAAGTCACCTGTCAAGAGTTCGAGATGCAGATGGTGACAGTATAAGTCCAGTCAAGATGTGGAGACAGCAGGAATGTAAGGACTAACAGTGTTATGAAGAAGCTGTTGGAGTTTGATGGATATACGTCTTGGACTGAGATATGGCTTATCACAACAGGCAGGCATCTGCTTGCCATTTTCAGGAGCATGTTGCCAGAATCCAAAACTGTCGTCCAGCCTGAGGTACATACAAGGATATCGCCAGAGTGCTGAAATAAATGTTACAGAGACCACCAGCTTATGGTTCCCTGCTGATCACAACTCAAAGCCAGAACCCAGCTCAGCAGTGAGTCTTTACAAGAATTTGAAAATGCTATCCAGCAATAGTCCCGCTGATCTGAGGCAACCTGTACAATAGTCAGTTGAATGAAGAACCAGGACATGAAACAGTACTGCTCTCATAATTGGGGTGAGGGCTCTTGGTGAAAACTTTAAGCAGACCCTGAAGTTAGAAGCTGTCAAGGTGGCAGCCAGACTACCAGCAAAGCCGTGTCTGGTAAGGGCTGGGGTCTCCATGGGCACATGGTCACTGGTAACCAAGTGCCAGAGGATTGGATGACCCATCTGCTGTCAGTGTAGGAATTTCAGGCACCTCAGAGGAGATTGTCGACAGAGACATGACGAGGAGGCTGACCAGGATACAGGTAACAAGTAAGAGCTGGGGTGATAAATGTAATCATTGGCAGTGGGGCATCTATGACCATTGCTAAGCCTGACATCACTTCATTGTTTAAAGGGAAGCTTAGTCAGCCATTAATTCTGCAAATGACATCTGGGAAACTCCCCTGTCTTGAAGATGGTTCTGATGGAGGTATGGGACAGGGCATTATGAATTTGAATGTTTGTCACATCATGAACTAATTCATCCTGGGACTGGATGTTTTGTGAGCATGTGCTGCAGTGGTGGATTTGAAGCACCACATGGCATGACTGGGCCAAGAAGAGGTGTCATGTGTTAGAAAGTCCAACCACAGTCATCACTCCTCTCAGCCCCTGAAGAGGTTAATCGTAGCTTGATGTAAAAGGATGGTGATTTCATGGCTGGAGGGTCCCCTGGACTAAGCAAACAGCCTAGTGTAATTGTGTTTGAAGATCTCCCATCCAGAAGGACTATACTATACAGGGCTAGGATGTTGGTTGAAGCTCTACACCAAGTACCCATTGGATCACGAACGTGAAAAACTGAGAACAAGCGTTGGCTAAAGGCACCACTTCGGGCCACTGCAGGCAAGTCTTGTGGGTAGTGCCAATCAAAGGGTCAGAATCTCAGACTCCTGGTACTCGATGGCCCAATGAGCTGCTGCAAGAAATGGTGCTCAGCATGAGGCCCAGCATCAACACTGGAGAACCACAAGGGTTGGAGGTGTTAGTCATTGAACTCTAGGTTGTTATCACAATGAAAAATGACATGTGTATGGTCCAATAGAGTATACCACCATATCAGCACCATCGACTTCTGTCTTACCTGTCTTGCAGACTTCCATTAGCCAAGCTGGCTCAGACAGGTGAGATGCCAAAGGACAGGAAAGGTCCCAGGGTAATCAAAAAGTCATGGTCGTACTATAGCTCAAGCGGTTAGTCGCTGGCTTTCAACTGTGGTGGCCCGGGTTTGATCCCGGGTCTGGTCAAGTGGGATTTGTGGTGGACAAAGTGGCACTGGGGCAGGTTTTCTCTTAGTACTTTGGTTTCCCCTGCCAATCTTCATTCCACCAAATTCTCCATCATCATAATCACCTGGGGCAGGCTACAGTAGGCCAATTAATGGCCACCATGCCGAGTTGACCCAATTGGACTCCACCCCCACCCCCCAAGCAAATTAAAAAAAAATCAAGAAGTCAGGACTCCTAGGTCCTACCCATCATGCTTGATAGGAAGAAGAAGAATGGAAACCTTTGCTTCTATGTCTGCTACCAGTAGCTGAATAACAAGGTTTAGTTTCCTGCTACTGAGGATTTATGACCCTCACTGGGGCCAAGTGCTTCTTGTCCCTTGATTTGAAGCATGGCTATTGGCAGACTGCCCACCACCACAGTGACAATGAGAAGACAGTGTTCTGTAGTGGAAAGCGTGTGTTGCAGTTCACAGTTATGCCCTTTGACCTTTGTAATGCTCCGGCAGTGTCCAAGAAGCTGAAGGGATCAGTCCTGTGGGGTGTTGTGAAGTCTGCGTTGTGTACTTGGATGATGTAATCATTGTTGGCCAGGCTTTTCAGGAGCATCTTGACAGTCTTAGAGCTTCCAAGGCAGTCACCTCATATTGAACCCCCAAAAGTGCCAACTGTTTCAGAATGAGATCTAGTACCAGGGACATACATCACTGGAAGGAGTGGCCGCAGACAGAGAAGCTGAAGACTGGGAGAGCCACCACTGAAGGACAAATATGTGTTGAGGGGTTCTGTGTACCTACCACCAGAGGTCCTTAGCTGGATTTGCAGGTATTAAGCCATTGAACCAGCTCGTGGAAGATCTACTTTATGACACAATGAGAGTTACTGGCTGTTTTGAAGCCTTTGAAACATTTTCACAAATTCCTCTATGGACAGGAGTTATATCTGCATGCTGACCACTCTGCTTTAACCTGGCTTCTTAGTTTCAAGAACCTGGAAGGACAGACATCCCGCTCAGTCCATCATCTTCAAGAATACAGTTTTGCTTCCAAACATAATGAAGGTTGGAAGCACATCAGTGCAGATGTGCTCTCTTCAGTACCCTCTCCAGAGGCATGCACACACTGCCTGAAAGTTAAATGACTTTCAGGCAGCCTGGAAGCACAAGTTATCACTGCTGCTACCACGGATGACTGGAACTGTGCCATCCTGTGGAAGGAGCAGCTGGATGGTGACATTGGACTGATTCTGTGAGAAGTGGATGCTATAGAGGATCCCAAGTGGAAGGATACTGCTGACTGCAATCACATCTGCAAGAGTTACTGACCTCAGAAATGCTCTCTTGTCGTAAGAGAGGGTACTCTTGATCACCACTCTCAGTCAATCGATGGATGGTCCAAGACAGCCCAGATAGTCCTGCCACAGAGCAAAGTGAAAGAAAAAAAGTGATGGGAGAACTCCATGCAAGACTATCAGGACGATATCTAGTTGATAGCAACAGCCTTACTGCTGGCTACACATGAGCAGTGTTGAGAGGTGGAGCCAACAACATGCCTGATGCACTAATGGAACATCAGTGCACGATTTGAGAGGATTGTCATCAACATTGCATCATACTTTCCTCAATGCCAGAGAGAAACAATACTTTCTGATCACAGTGGATTTCTTCACAAAGTGGCCAGAGGTTTACACCCCCCCTGACCGGAAGGCACTGACAGTGGTTGATGTTCTGGTAACCAACTTTTTCTCCATTGGTGTCCTGAGGAAGTAACCCAGGCTGGAACTTGGAGACACAAGACCAGGACACTTTACCTCAGAGTGTGCAAGACACTATTCCTTTGCATCTGCAGTTGGATGGCATGATGATACACTTGTGTGAAGACAGTGGTACACCTGAGGAAGATTATCTTGATGCTTCAAAGACTGGATCAAGAGGATACCCCTGTTCCTGCTTGGCTCTAGAGCATGAAGATGCAGAAGCACAGGCATGAGGCTTTTCAGCATGGTGTTTATGATGACACCAAGAGTAAGCCATGACCGACTTCATGACAGACCTCTTGGAACAGCTGCATCACATCCACCATTACACATGTCAACATCTGAAGGTGGCCAGCAGCAGTATGAAGGTCTGCTATGACCACCTAACCAACTATGGAATTCCAGGAAGGAAACAGAGTCTGATTGTACCGCTCACTCCAGTCCAGAGGGAAGTTGCTTTAGCTGCAGTTTTCATGGGAAGGCACTTGCAAGATATTCACCAGATCAAGGATGTAGTCTCCAGGATGGATCATCATCCCAGGGTGAAAATGGTGGTGGTGCAGCTGGATGGACTGGCTCCATATCTACATGGTAGTTAGGAGGGAGCAGTGTTGCATAAACTGAGAGCAAAGCTGAGTCACATGGTAGTGTGCACACACCTCTTGTTTGGAGAAATGTCCAAGATCTCTCCTCCCCCTTCCAAGATTATTGTGGAGACTGCCAACCAAAGGCTGAGAAGTCACTGAGAGCCCTGAGAACCCATGAGACACTTCTAGAATGACTCAACATGAACTATGGTCATGCCACTCTGAGCTTATACATGCAGTGCAGAACAGTCATGAGGAGAGCAATATGTGAAGCCACAAGTGTTTTGACTGACCACTTGGTTAAGTGCAAGCTGCAAGCAGGAGACAGTGCAGTGACGTGGTGAAATAACAGGAGCTGGCTACTGACAGGGAGACAGTAGCTGTTCCAGAGCACAGTAAACATTACCATATCAACTGTGATGCTGTAAGCAGAAGGAATGTGTATGCTGAGTATTGTTTCAAACAGTTGTGCTAAATCAAGGTACAAATTCTGGAAATTTGAAAATATCTTAACTAATTGCACATTATATAGAGAATTGAAATTCACTTAGCATGAGATTTTATGAAATTCAAGAACAGTGAAATTGAATTTCACTGTAGTTTTTGTAGGTCTTCCAAGATATTCTCCCACAGAAATTTGGTATTCATTTCGAGAAACTAGAGTATGCAGTTCCACTCTTGTTAACTATCCAATGTAATTTGGAGCTGAACAGACAAATGTGTTTCAGTGCATCTTCAGGAGATTTCACAAATTCAAGAAGTCTCATTACCACTGGTTTATGGTATGGTGTGAATACTTTAGTTACATTATTCTCTGTTTACAGTACCAATTTCTGACTATGTTCATCATGGAGCTGCATATTCATACTCGTGGAGACCTCAAACCAGATCCATCTTACGACCCAATCAGAGCCTTGTTCTATATGGTAGTGAATGATATTCCTGAAGATGCAGGTCTTTCAAAACACGAGTTAGGTTAGTAGTACTAATATGTATGTGTTATTTATTTTTAATGAACTAACTGTCTAGTATTGCAGCACAAGTTCTACACCGCTGGCAATTCAATCCACATTCCGCCCTTACTGCTCACTTCCCTAAGAGCTGCCTGTGTTATTCTTCAAATTCAGTCCTCTAAATTAGTTCTTGTTTACAGATTTTCTTGATGTCAAAATTGTGTATACATTTACACAATGTTATTTTTATTCCAGTGATCCTGTCAAGGTTATGTTATGAAGTTGCATTCCTTTAACCTTTAGTTTGTAACATTTCTTGTTACATGTGTAAGGGCTCAATTTTGTCCGGATATGTTGATAAGGGAAAGAATCCGTGCCTTTGCGAGGAATTGAATTCCAGTTGTCCATCAAAATCATATGTTGGCAGGGCCATTTCATACTTTTTGTTGCTGATGTTGAAGCTTCTTGAGTGTTTCCCATTAGGTTCCTTGCAGTTCAGTAATGATTTCTCATAAGTGCTTGTTCAGTGATTAGTATTGATTTAGGTAGGCATGTGTGAGTTTCAAATTTTTTAGACTGCATTAAGAAGAAAATCAATTAAAATTTTCTTCTTTCAGCCTTGAACTTTGAGAATTTTCAGGTAACTCTTTTTTGTTCGAGCATTAGCATGTAGACTGTGTGATCCAACAGTATCATAGTGGTTGGCACACTTAATATGACTCGACTTGTCAACTAAATCGGTCTCTCACTGCCTCCTCCATTCCTTTGCTGTCTCTATTTCTCTCACTCACTCTCTGCCCATGGTGAAGAAGGATGTGACCTTCTATAGATTATTTATGAGTATTTTTCATTGAAAGATTCTGATGTCAAAATGGAAAATTTTTACACTGTAGTGCATTGTGGAAAGAGTCTAGTGTAAAAAATTATGATTACAGTAAAAGAAATTGGTCAAGCAGAGAAAAGATTTATTGTAGTCACAAACTGAAAGTCATTCTTACATATTCCTAACTTTAGGTATGGTTTGACGTTGTAGTAAGTGAGGCTGGTCCAACATGGGATGTTGGTGCTCGTAGAGTTCAGTGAGGAGAAGGATAGGTAGATGATGTGTTGTGGTGTGTCTTATTCATTTTACTGGCCTAAGAGTGCTGCATTTTTCCTAGTTGTGTTGGGAATTGATATGTGTTATTCAGTGTGATGGTCCACTCACTGTCGTTTTTCCTTTTATTCTCCTCAGATACTTTTTCTTGAGCAAAGGAAAACGTCAATCTTTGACCCAACCTTTTCTGTTAGAGGTGTGAACACTTGCTAGATTTACAGGGGAATGGAAGTTCAACTTCAGCAAGAGGGAGGTTTTTGCATGGATGGAAAGATTCAAAGAGTGAATAAGTGTTGATTATGCATATTCCAGGCAACCATTGACAGCAATGTGTGTAAGAGATTAATGATCAGCTGGATCAGCAAGGCACGCTGAAGAATTAGTATTGGTGTAATTTTATCTGAGCTGTGCAACATGGTGCGGAAGAAGCAGTGCAGAAATAGTGTAAGACTGGTTATAATGGGTGCATAATTTGACAGCCTTTCAGACAATCACACACTTAAATAAAAAAGTTCAAACTCAATACCTGTCATTCCATTAGATAAGACCTACTCGCATAACATTACACTAGTCTGTCGGAAACAAATTTCCTAGGTTTTTTTAAGATTCCAAAAATATTATGTCATGTAGAACCATAGCTGGGCAGTGACCACAGAATAAGCAAATATACAGCAGCCATTACTGAGTAACAGCTTTGCAAACAAACGTATTCCCATGACAGTAATTGAAACACAACAATGAGGAATGGGCTTTTCTGTGCAATCCATGCCAGAATGATATAAGTGGGACAATTTGGGAGCTGCAGTTAATGGAGCAGAGTCAGTTGGTTGGTGAGTGACTTATCAGTCAGTTGAGACTTGCTGTAGCTGAGGTTGGGGTCAGTTCAGGAATCCAAAGTAATGGGAATGTCCACTATTGGAAGCCATTGGAGCAATGGCCAGGGAAGGCTGAGAAGACTATGTGTGCTGTAGTTACAATGATATTTGGAGTGTGTATCTCATTCAGACTGTTGTAGTTATTTGTAGTTACTTTCTGTATGTGTTCACTAAATCCAATTACAAATCCAAGCACCATCTATAGTCACTCTAAAATTGTGACAATATCCTAATAGTTCTGCATTGCCTGGACAACCTGTTAGTTAAAAAAATTTCTTCAGTATACTCGTATAACCCTTTTTAAGTCATTGTCTTCTTGGTTGCTCCTTCAATGGATATAGTTATCTACCAGCAGAACACTGAGGAGCATTATTGTTTTCCTAGAAGACATTTTGTCAGGGGTATTAAAAGTTCTGCTTCTGAAGTGTTGAAATAAAGGAGCACTTCATGTGTGCCACCGTCACTTTGCCTTTCATAGGAGCTGAAGTCAGTGCAGATGAATTTGTTATTTGTATCAGCAACACCATCACTTTGCCTTTCATAGCAGCTGAAGTCAGTGCAGATGAATTTGTTATTTGTATCACAACACTGAAGAACAGCAGGATGGTACTACTTATGCATTGCATTCAGTTGCAACCTGGCAACAACATAGTGCAGACACAACATTTCTCACAGATTGCTGCTGTAACTGCTGATAGAATGAATCATTACTACTGATAAATGTATGTCATCAGGTGGTCTGATCTTGTCACGGCAGTAAGTTGCATTAATAGTCAGTCTGTGTTAGAGGTATCGATATGCAGTTGACATTTATACTGAAATAAAGTTCACTATTGAAAAGCATATGTTTATTGTTGAAACTTTTGCAAGGAAAAGCTTACAGAAACTGTATCCATAAGTTTCTTCATAAATATCCTGACTTGCCAGTTCCCACAAAGTAATGTGTATTCAAGCATGTGAAAAATTGGCAGGCCACAGGTTCAGTGTGGCGTGAAGCAGCAATGAAAGAGGATTGTGCTGACTGAAGAAGAAGTTCGCGATATTGAGACACAACTACAGATCTGTCCTCGAAAATCGTTAAGAGGCTTAGCGCAGGAACCTGGTATTTTGCTAGAATCTGCTTACACAGCCACAAAATTAATATTTCACCTGTATAAAATAACAGTTGTACGTAAGCTGAAACAACCAGATTATGCAGCAAGAATTCATTTTTGCAACAGCTGCTGCAAAATGCGCACAGTGGAATCGTGGACCCACAGCTTCTGTTCATGACTGATGAAGCGCGGTTTCACGTGAGTGTCCATGTCAGCTCACAAAATGTAAGAATATGGAGCGATGAAGATCCTCTCGCTATACAGTGAGTGCCATTACGTAGTGAAGAGGTGGGGGTGTGGTGTACCGAAAGTCTGCAGCGAATCATTGACCCAATATTTTTCCATGAATCCTTGAAGTCTGACGGCTACATTAATGATATACTGAATCCATTCTTCAATGAGCTGACTGCTGAAGAAAGACAATATGCATATTTTCAGCAAGAAATGCTACAGCACGTATGGCTAATTCAACCATGTTTGAAATATGGGAAGTGTCTGAAGACAGCATAATCAGCAGAGGACTGTGGCATCCCAGATCTCAGTTTTTGGGATATTCATCTTTGGGACCCGGGATAGCTTAGTTGGTATAGCAACTGACTATGAGCTGGAAGACTGAGGATTTTTAAGTTTGGGTCCTGGTAAGGTCAAGAATTTTCTTTATGGGAACCTGAAAATTCAGTGATAATTTATCCAATTAAAAGTAAGGCAGTTTCTTTCACCAGGGTCCAAGTGATGGAACCACTAAATTATTCCTTAGGGAACACAGTAATTCCTGAAGTGAGCAGTTGTTAACATCTGGGAATAATTTTATGCAGCAATCTAATTTGGGCTCATCAAATTAATTTCATGGTGAAAAAAGCCTGGGAGGCACTTCATTTTACAATGTGTTTTCTAGAAAAGAGAAATAGCAACACTAAATATTTACCCAACATGTCTTTAGTGAGTCCAATTCTGGAATATGGGGTGGCTTGCTGGGATCCTTACAGAGAGAGACAGATACTCATACATGTGTTTGACCAGGTGCAAAAGAAAACAGCTAAATTTGCACATCATAGGAACAATTTGAACTGGGGAACCTTGACACAGCACAGACAAATAGCTCTCATATGTGCTCTCTTCAAAGCATACATTGGAGAACGGGCCTGGAAGGCAATAGGTGATAGATTACAAAGGTCATGCTGTCTGAGCAGAGGCAATCATGACAAAATTAGGAGCAGAAAGCAACGGACAGATATCAGAAAATACACCTTTGTAAATAGGACCATGCAGATCTGGAATCAACTACCTTCAGATGCTTTAAGGACTCTCCTGCAAACCAAGTGATTTTAGGAAAAGGGTTAGGAAAGTGATAAATGAGAAAAAGTGAAGGTGGGGTGGAAGTGAAGTAAAATGAAGTGAAAAGTGTCAAGGATGGGAGGATTACGTAAGTGTAGTAAAGCGAAATTAAGGAAAATTAGAACACAGGAATATGTATTCATTCATCAGTAATCTGTCAGACGACAGGTCCACAGTCTCTTCAAAAAGTGTTTCTCCACTTATTGCGATCTAGAGCTTTCTCCTTCAAATGAGAATATCCTCTTCTGTCCCCAGGGTCATCCAGCATCTTCTTACATCTTCTGCCTCGTCTTCTTGTCACTTCTATCCGCCCTTCTATCTTTCCTTCAATAACTTCTTTTAGAAGGCGGTTACTGCGTAAAATATGACCAATCCAATTAGCCTTCCGTTTTCTTATTTCGTGTAGGATATTCCTCTGCTCACTGGCTCTAAATAACACTTCTTCATTTCTCGCAGAATTGGTCCAACTGATCTTCTCCATCCTTCTCCAACACCACATTTCGAGCTTTCCAGGTGTTTCTGATCTACTGCCCTAAGTGTCCAAGTTTCAGCCCCATACAAAGCCATGCTCCAAATATAGCATTTCACTAGTTTCTTTCTCAAATTTAAGTCCAATTTGCTG